GGGGAACTGATGAAACCTTATCATCACAGTGTTCCTATTGCATTGTTTTCTCGGATAGACTCTCCAGAAATTCCCAAGCTTCATCGGCGTTTTTCCTCGTGAAATCCCCATGGCACATTGATTCTAAGGAAGTTTTTGCAGAGTAATCTAATCCCTCATAAATTATTTGGCACAATCGTCATTTTTCTAAACCGTGATGAGGACATTGGATGAGAAGATCTTTAAATCGGTCAAAATACTTCCAAAAAGGTTCACCCGGGACAATTTTAAAATTCATGATGCTGTTTCTTAGCTTTATCGTTTTATGGATAGGAAAAAATTTCTTAAGAAAAACGATGATAAATTCCTCCCAAGTAGTGATGGAATTTACGGGTAAGCTATACAGCCATTTTTTTGCTTTGTCTTTGAGAGCAAATGGAATAAATATGAGTTTGATCGCATCTTTTGTTAATTCTCTCATTTTAATCATAATACACACTTCCTCAAATTCCGAGATAAAAATATATGCATCTTCTGTTTCATTTCCAAGGAATTTGAGAAGCATGTTTATGTAATACGGTCTAAGCTCAAAATTTATTCCATTTGTTTCGGGGAGCCTAATGCAAGAGGGGATTGCATTCCTAATAGGATATCACATATCTTAAAGAACGGGTGGATTAGGATGCTCTATTTCTATGATTGGTTCAAAGCGAATTAAACGATGTGTATTATCCCTAATCTACTATTGCATACACCAACTATTTCTTTTTATACTTTTTTTTATTTATAAAAGTTAGTTTTTTTTAAGTGAGGAGAGAATGGAAAAAGAGAAAAAAAATCCTAACTAAAACAAATCAAAATCAATCACTTTTTAATCACTCTAACTCTAGGGTTAAGCCTAACTCAACTAGACTAGTTCCTAACCAAAAACTCCTAAAGTGAAAAGATTAAAGTTTTACCCGGGTAGTTAGCCAGGTAAGGATAGTACTAGTGGGTGATCAGAGATCAATTAAGTAACTCGTTCCTTACGGAGCGCTTTACGCAACCCCTAAACCTTGCCTTAGACACCAACTAATCCAAGAAAACTTAAACCGGTTCACTTAAGGATTCTTTGTTCCTTATTGAACTCGAATCCTTAGGGCCAACGTCTAATGAGTTTTATTAGATTTGGGTGGTGTAGTGAAGAATTAGTGATTTTTGGGCTAAGGAAAGGGTGATGAAATCCCTCACCTTATCTTGATTATGGGGTTTTACCCTTAAAAATATTTTTAAGTGTGTGCCAAATCAAGATGCTCAAATCACTTGGTGAATTCCTACTAACAATATGAAATACAACACTACGAATTAAAAACAACTAAAAAGGATGAAAAAGAAAAAATCTTTTTTTAATTAGGGTTTATAATCAAACAAATGAGAAGGGGGAATTATTTGAATTTATTATCTTGTTAGTAAATGTCAAAGTGAAAGATGGATTTTATTATGGTCAACAAAAATAATTTTTTTTAAATCCTAATTATCTCTAATTGTGAAGCTAATTAAAAAGGGTGGAATTAAAAAGGCTAGAAAGAAGACTTACCCGGAAGCAAATCTTCAAATCCTAGTTCTCCAATCCGCGATCTTCAAGCTCCAAACGTTTCCTTCAGAATAAACACACAAGTTAAAGAACCAAAATAATTAAAACCTACTTAAGCACCTTCCCCGGCAACGACGCCAAAAACTTGATGCGGCATAAACATGTACCAAAAAATATTACAAGTCCACAACCGTGTCAAGTTATAGTATAAAGATATCGATCCCACGAGGAAGGTGTTTTGTAGGAGAAAATATAAAATCGGTTCTTATGTTGTGTGCGTGACAAATAGGAGTGATGAGTGAATGTGATTGTGAAGAGATTGAGAGAGTGAAAGTGATAGTGTGTAAATCAATGTTTTTTAGAGTGGATGTGAGTAAAAATAAATAAATGTGATCAACAAAGCAAGAAGGAAGAATGAATAAAATCGAGAAACAAATAAAAAATCAAGAATGTAAAGATAGCGGATTCAATTAAAGATATGGGTAATCTAGAATTGAATCCTCTTCTTAATCTAAACTAATAAGCAATAAAAAAGAAATAAAAGAGAAAAAGAAAAGAAATGCAAACCTCTAAATAATTCTTCATCTCCATCTTCATCATCCAACAAAGAGAAGAAATATTTAAAGTGGTAAAAAAATTATTATTATTAATTGTAACAAAAAGTTACAAATTTAGAAGGCCTTCTCAATTAAGAGTAGCCCTCCTCTCCAAAAGGAGTTACAAAATTTTTTACACCTCTAACCCCTCACTCTCTACCCTTATTTATAGTAAACATCAGTGAATGAGAGCCATTGGATCAAACTTGAGCCCCAAGACAAGCAAAATCAGCCATTAACTCGCGCTACAGTAAACTGGCATCGATGTAGGCATCGATGCAGGTATCGATGCCAGCATCGATGCCCACATCGATACCCACTATATCCAAATTCTGATTTCACGGATAGCTTCGTCTCGTCGAGATAGGCGATTTTCATATATTATATGTTAAATTCCGCCTTCCGGATTAGGAGATATCGTCGTTTCTTTGTGGCCAACCATTTTGAATATGATTTCTTTTCATATTGGATTTTTTATTTTCTCCGGCTTCTACATGCTACTCGGCTTGATTCTGGGCTTTTGGATAATTTGGAAATTGATTTTCCAATGCGCTTCTTTGCTTCATTTCTTCATTTAATCAATGGGTTTTTGTTGAGAGATGAGAGTTTGAGATTTATTCTTCATTAACCTGCAATTAAAAGATAAAAATAATTATTAGTGGTATATTTATTCATATAAAATAGATAATGAGGGTATAAAATTATAATAAAATGTGAGTTCTTGGCGAGTTCTTCGACAAAAAAGAGGAGAGTTCGATAGATCTGCAGCTGCTTCAGCCTCGTTCATCTGCTTCCCTTGAGATCGCACCGTTGTTGTAATCTCGAGAAGAGTGTTTATCTCACCGTTGCTGAGATATTCACTTCAATTTCTTGTCTTATTCATGAGGCAATGAAATCAATCGGATCTGATCATTTGGTGGTCCACGGATAAACCCCGACACCGGCAAAGATCTCATGCAAGCAGAAGACCGATAAACAATCTCTCTGCGTGTGTTTTCTAGAAAGTTGTAATTTTTTAATTTCTTTTGTGTAGAGAGATCTTATAAAAAGACTCCTTTTTTGAATTCGTTGTAAACGCCTGAAGTTGTAATGAATTCCTAAAAGAAACCAACTTTCAACGTCAACACCGATAAGAAATTGTCGGTGGCCGATCTGAGCTCATCAAGGCTGAACTTGGCAAATTGCGAGAGAGCATTACGATCAGATTTCCCCCCATTTTATACAAAAATCGAATGAAAAAACAAACTTTAGGCAAAAATGAAGGAAATTAAAAGGGGAAAGCGAAGGATCGATCGATGAAGTACGGTAATCATCGGATTTGATGACTGAAGAGCTCCTAAAGTGATGAGATCCCCACCAACAAATGAAGAATCTTGAGCAACGACCTCCCGTTGATTTTGATCTCAGCTTTTTCTTCCTCCTCCTCTTCAAGACTTTTAGTAGCAAAGTGAAGTGATGAGTGAAGTTATAGATCCAGGATCACCGAAATCTACGGGACTAGTAGTACCGTAGATTTGTGGCATCATTATTAATCGCCAATAATTGCCGATTAAACATATAGATCTAGTAGTCCCGTATGTTTCGAATAGGCTGTTTTTCAAAAAAACTCTCTCTCTCTCTCTCTCTCTCTCTCTCTATATATATATATATATATTTTCATCTCCAACCCATTACACCAAATTTTACACCAAAAAGAATATTCTTTTTATTATTCTTATCTTTTAATATTTATATCTATTTAAAATATTTAACAAATTATATAATTATATAATACATTACATATAATTAATGATAATAATATATTTTATGAATAAAATAAAAATTAAATGCTAAATAAAATAAAATTATTACTTTTATAAATTAAACTAATTAGTGTTAAATTTTTATGTCCTAATTTATGTGTAATTTTTTATGTTGTATTTTTTTATCTAAATGTAAGTTTTTCTTATTCCTTCATTTTAATGTTAATTTTAATAATTATTTTATACCCTAATTTCATTATAATAGTTAATATAAAATAATATATATTATTAATACAAATATAAAAAACAAAAGTAAAAAAAAACTCAAAAAACTAACATAGCGTTGCGCCATTGCTACAGTGTTGCGCCATTCCTGACGCAACACTGTAGCAACCCACTAAGATAGCGCAACATATAACGCCGGGTTGGAGAAGAGAATCGGTGTCAAAATGAAGATTTGACCACCGGTTGGAGAAGCTCTAATCAACGAAAATACTAATGACTTGTTTGGATTGAGGGGAATAAGGGAGAAGGGAAGTTAGGAGAACCATTCACCTTGTTTGGGAACATTTAGGAGGTGAAGTTATTCACCCTAGTTCCCTTTAGTTCACCCTTTAATAGTATAAAATTTGTTACCCCCAAATTGGTGTGTAACCAAAGGGAAGTGAACTCCCTTCCCTTCTATTCTCTTCTCTCATCTAGTTTCCCTTAACTTCCCTTAACCCCATTGAAATCCAAACACGTCGTAAGTAGACTTACAAGGATATATATGTAAATATGCAGAATATATTCTATAGAGGGGTATATATGAAAATAAAGATCCCTCAACAAGGGGAAAACGAGCAATTGTTGCAAAATACGTTTCCTTAGGGTTCTCTCTGCCCTTTTAATCTCCAAACTTCATCCAAATTTTGCTGCCTAAAATTGCAAGAAATCGAAGTCGAAGGTAATTCTTCTCCTCTTTTCTCTCCCTAAGGTTCTTGTAGAAACTCAAGAAAAACCGTAGAAATTCAAGAAGAAACCCTAATTCGATCTGCTTTTTTGGGGCCTTTGATCTCTGCACGCGATAGATCTGAGTCAGTTTTCTTTGACGAGATTTCAGTTGTGAGATTAAATTTGCAATTTGCCCTCTATTTTCTCATAAAGATTTGATTTTGACGGTTTTATTGGTTGTTTTGTTTACTTAGATTTAGGGTTTATTTTGTAAAATGGGCAGAAGTGGCAATGTGTTGGAAAGTGTTATCTTTTTACGGTTTTTAGCATATACCTCCTTCGTTTTGGCGAATAATAGAAGCAGCTTGTTATTTGTTTATTTTTGTGAAGAACTGCCGTCGAGGAGTTTTTTGCAAAGTTTTTATTTAAACAAATTATACGTAAAAATCCTCCTTGACCCTTTATCTTTCTTTCTTTTTTTTTGCCCGATTTTGTTTACCATCTGCTGCTTGAGATTGGAAGTTCGAAAGAGAATTGGCCACTCAATAGCATGGAAGCACACGGTTCATGATGAAAGATAATTTTTCGAATTTTAGTAACAATCTTTTATTATTAGATCGTGGCGTTATACTCTTACATTAGACGTGCTTAAGCTGCTGCGCTACCAAGAATTATTGGTACTATTTCTTTTTTGAGAAATTCTTCGTTGTGCAAGATGTATATAAGATTTCTTTTTTGTTCCCATCAAATCGTAATCCATAGTTTTTCGCATTTTCTTGTGTAAAGCTTGATTTTTGTCTAATTATTCAGAAGGATTGTTGGATCATTGTTCTCAATGCATTCTTCATTTTATTTTCTTGCTGCCACTTATATATTTTCTTTATTCATATTGCTGGATTCTTTACGGTAACTCATGGTCCTTAGGATTTAAGTTTGCAATCCTTGATGTGGTTGATATTGGCTGAAGTTTTTGACGATATACTACTATGTTCAATGTGCTTGTGGGTGAATTTTCTACGAAATGGTCTTCCTCCTTTTATGCATATCTGATATGCATCAGGATGGGCTAGGTGATACAATGTTATAATTTTCGGTGTGATACAATGGTTTAAATATGGGGACAAACTCCTATAATTGGTTCAACTATGGTCATGTATATGGAGGTACTATGATATACATAGTGAGAAAATACCAGACCAAAGATAAAACTTCCACAGGACTAAAACTTGCATTGAAACTTCAACAATGGAAGCATGTTGCTAATTGCTATGTTGATTCCTTTTAAGGCGTTCACTTTCCTGAGAATTCAATAGCTTGCAATCTTGAGGATTTGATGTTTGATGTTTTTGTGAGTGAAATTTTCTTTAGAATGGTCTTCCCAAGTTCATTTATACGGGATGTTTAGAGAAGATGTGCATGGAGCCTATGGATTGGGCAATGATACAACAGTACAAACTTGGGGACAAACGCTTATAATTGTTTATAAGAGTGATTCGTGAAAAGGTTTGTTGACCTGATGATTCTAGTTGTATTGTTTAATGGGTAGGTCAAAGACATATATAGTTTGTGAAATTCCTCCCTAGTCACCAGTCCTAGCGACAAAAATAATCTCCGGTTTGTGACCAGTATGGAATTCATTTAGGGTATGTTTGGTACGAAAACAAGATAGCTTGAGCATTACTAGGGAGTTGAAGAGCCAAGCTACTTGAAAGTTTAAAATGCTTGGTGGATTTATCTTTTAGCTTATATATAATGCTGCTTTATGTGTATCATGTTCATGCACAGCTGTCTATACATCTGTGTTCACTCTTTGTTATTGTTCTAAGTACTGCTAATTGTTCTTATTATTCTTTTTGTATTATTTAATCTTCAGTCATCTACTGGGTTATAATTTTCAAACAAGTTCTGTCAGCGTGCTTTCTGCAACCTGAAGAAGGATACAATTTCTTTTTCCTGCAATTAGTCTGATTTATCGAATGTTACCTGTAAATTATCTCAATCATGCTTGCTAACAATTTTAGGATGCGGTATTCCTTGTCTATATATGCTGCTGAAATATAGTTTCTGTGCTGTATTTTTCTTTATATTTTGTTGCTGAACTTTTTCTTACTTGACCATTAATCACCCTCTGCCGCCAAAAAGGAAAAGAAAAAAAAGGAAAAGAGTGGGTAAGAAAATATAACAAAATAAAAGCACATAAGCAATATGTATTTATTGTGTATAAAGTAAAAGCTTCTCCTTCCAAATCCTGGTTTGATCCTTTGTCGAAAAGAAGACGAAAAAAAAAAGAATCGTGCATCTTTGTTGCAGGTCTAAATAGGTCAAGTGAGATCAGCTCATATTAGCTACATTTCAGTAGAACCTCGACATAACATATTTAGATGTTAATGTAGTATTGAAATGGTCATACCATATTAATTATTTTTGTTGATTCATGGTTTAATTCCCCTTATATGTAGGCATATGCCAACAATGGTAGAGGGGACTGTTGTGGCCATTTGCCAGTATGGTGGAGAGTTTGTCACAAATAGGGATGGATCTCTGTCTTACACTGGAGGAGATGCTCGTGCTGTTGATGTTGGTCATGATATGCTTTTGGAGGATTTCAAGTCAGAAATAGCATCAACATTTGACATTGACATCAGTGGCATGTCTATCAAGTATCTTCTCCCAAGCAATAAACGAGTTCTCATCACGATATCTAATGACAAGGATTTGCAACGAATGGTTGCTCATAATGCCCAGTCTATGTCAATAGAGGTGTATATCATAAATAAGGTTGACAGCAGGTATGTATCTTGAGAATTTATTAACATTATCAATCATCCTTCTGCTTTTTTTGAAGCATGAACTGGCCAGTAATAAATTGTTCGTGTATGGCAACTAGCACCTCAATTGCTGTCACTGCTGCTGCGCAACAGAACGGTAAACGGAAGAGACCAACATCAGGGTCTAGGTATCACTCCGAGTCTGATGATATTATTATATATCTTAAGTATTCACTGCAAGCTATATTAAATATTTAGAAGCTATTTTTTTTGCAGGGCACCTAAAAAAAGTTTACAGGTAGCTGATTCCCATACACCTATTGCTTTTAACAGTGTTACTGAAAATGCTGTTGACAGTGACGGACAAAATAGATCAACCATCACTGGAAATGTTGAGAACAGGTGATCAATCTTTGAGACGATAAAATTTATTTCTTTTTTGTGATATCCAGGGGCAAGTTATAGACTTTTTTAATAAGGTGACTGGCGTTTGGATTTTTCTTTAAAGTTTAGAAAAATGCTATGGTATTTCTTTTGTTTATTTGATATCATAATTGAAAACTATGCTTATGCTTTAGGAATTTCTGTTAGTATGCAGCTTAATATTTACAATTTCGATGTTGTTCAATAAGTCTTTTGACTGTTGGTAGTCACTTATGTAAAATTCTTAAGATACCTCCTTGGAAGGTTTTCTTACTTGTTAGAGAGATTTTTCTTTCTATCAATTTATACTTCTTTGTTGTGAAACCATTTTAGAGCAAATTTAAGAATTCCATAGACTGACTGGGGCTAGAGAAAAGAATTATTTTGCATAGCAATGTATAAATACACTTTGTTTGTATGCCAAAAAAAAAAAAAGAAGCCCACTATGTTCTTCTGTTCTACCATTTTCTCAATGTCTGTTCCTCCAAGATAACAGTCCCTGTACCATCAACTTTTCCCCTTACGGAAAACATAAAACTACTAGCATGGTCCGAGTGCATAAGAATTAGCATCCTGCAAAGAAACATGCTATTTTATACGTTTTTATATTATTTTTTATTTGTCCCTTTTCCTGGTTCTGAATATATATACGGAATTAATAATTTTCATTATTTCTAATATAGTGCGTATTTTTGTGGTAGTGCGACTGAACTCGTCACAGTCCACTCTGCTTTGCCGGTTTTCATGTCTTCGGCTACTTCTACCAATGACATCGGACAGCAAGGAGTAACTACTGTTGACAATTTTGACGAGAGGTAACTGCAGGCACACCAATTCTTTCTGCTTTGTTAGTACCTTAAATTTATAAATCCATGAAAATCATATTAGACATTTTCTTGTTTGCAAACTAGGAGCATTCTAGCTGATCCAAGCATCCCTAATGTTGCCACTACAGTTGCCACTCTAGGCACTTGTGATGATACCAGACCTCTTAATTTAACCACTCTCTGGGATGACATCATTACAGGCGTGGGTCAAGAATTCGACAATGTGAAGGAGTTCCGTGGTCAGTTATGTAAATATGCCATTGGTAAAGGTTTCGTCTATAAATTCGTGAAGAATGAAAGTACTCGTGTGACTGTAAGGTGCAATGAGGAGAGTTGCCCATGGAGGATACATGCATCCGAGTCATCCCAAAAACAGAAGTTTGTGATTAAGAAAATGAACAATGTACATACATGTGGCGGGGGGAATGGGAAAGATGGGCAACGGAAAGCAACGAGACAATGGTTGACCGATATTATTAAGGAAAAATTACAAGCCTCATTACCGTGTAAGCCCAAAGAAATCGTACAAGAACTTTATGAAGATTATGGAGTGAGCTTGTCTTATTCACAAGTTTGGAGAGGGAGAGAAGATGCGCAGAAAGAGCTTTACAGCTTGCTTAAAGAGACATACAGTCAGTTGCCGTGGTTATGTGAAAGGATATTAGAAACTAATCCAGGCAGCGTTGCATTGCTTTCTGCCAGTATTGATTCAAAAGTTCGTCGCTTTTATGTCTCTTTCCACGCTTCGCTTCATGGTTTTGAGCATGGTTGTCGGCCTCTCATTTTTCTCGATAGAATTCCTTTGAAAGGAAACACTCAGTGCAAGTTACTCACTGCCGCTGCACTTGATGGCGATGATGCTATTTTCCCATTGGCCTTTGCTGCAGTTGAGGATGAGAGTTATGATACTTGGGTGTGGTTCTTATCACAGTTGAGGTACGCTGTGGGAGCTTCTCGTGCAATTACCTTTATATCCAATAGACAGAAAGGTTTAGATGTAGCAGTACCTCAAGTATTCGTAGATAGTCATCATAGCTACTGTTTGCGCCATCTCATAGAGGATTTCAAATTGGAGTTGAAGAAAGGGCCATGGTCACAACAGTTAAAGGACAATATGGTCGATGATTTCATACGAGCTGCCCAAGCCTGCACTATTGAAGATTTTAACGCATCCATCGAGAGCATCAGGAATATTTCCAGCGAAGCGGCTGAATGGGTTGCGGGGAGCAAACCTGAAAACTGGTCAGATGCCATTTTTCGTGGTTCTAGGTACGACCACTTCTCTTCGAACATTGTGGATTCACTCACCAACTGGATACCAGTGAAATCTGAGTCATCGATAATGCATATAGTCGAAGCCATAAGAAACAAACTCACAGAGATGATGCAGACGAGAAAGGAAGTTTCTAGTGGGTGGATGAGCATGCTGACACCAACTATGGAGCAGAAACTGGAGAAAGAAATATCAAAATCGCGAAAACTTTACGTTTTGTGCTCTTCTGAAACCGTATTTGAGGTGCGAGGAAATACAATATACGTAGTTAATATCGGTAATTGGGAATGTACATGTCGAAGATGGCAGTTATCAGGATTGCCATGCTCGCATGCATTCGCAGTCTTCAACAGAATTAACAGATCCGTGTATGATTACTGTTCGAAGTATTTTAGAACAGATTATTATCACTCGGCCTATTCTGAAGCCATTAACCCAATACCTGGAGTCGAAAGCATAGATTTCAATTCGGGTGCAAATTTATACCCTCCTCCAGCGCAACGACCCCCTGGAGGACGACCAAGGAGAAAGAGATTTAACCCTAATAAGACGGTTACTGTGATTCGATTATGTAGCAGGTGCAAAGTTGCAGGACATAACAAGGCAACCTGTGAAGCTTTTTTGTAGATTGAGTTTGATATGTGTTTATTTGTAATAGGAGTAATTTACCCTAAGTTTTTGGTTATTGTTTGATCTTTTTATGGCATCTCCTTGCATAGAGTATCCTTTAATGTTGCTGATAATTTTTATGGCTGATCTTGTTTTATAGGCATATGTTTCTGTTAAACAGATTCCTAAATATCAAGGAACTATCATATTTGTGGATTTTCTTTTGAGAAAGCGGCTCCATGAATTTTTCTTGTTCATTTAACTGATACAGATTTTATATAATTTGATTGAATAAATAAAAAAATAGTTATGATATAGTTCTTAAATTTAGCTGGATGTATAACAGTTCAGGTTGCAGTTTCCAGAGCTCTATTATTTTTTCTGAGGCCGAAGCTGGCTTTGATAAGTGCAAATCTCTCTTTGTATTTGTCATTTTGATGTTTGGAACTTTTGTAAGCGATGGTGCTAGAGCTGCTGAAAGAAAATATGAAAGAGAAAGGGAGAAAGTGCAATGTGAGTTTTAGAGGTTTTTCTTTGATAATGAAGAAGTTTTTACAGTCTTTTTTATGCAATAGAAATGCAATTGTTGAAAATATTAAAAAGAATCATAACACTATCCCGAAACTCATTCAGTAGTCCCTCAAATCATCGCAATTGCTATTGAAAACCTCTAAATTCCTAATTTATTTTGAAATGTATCTCAAATAATTAAAATTGCTAATAGGTCCCTCAATTCTTAAGTTATTATTCTAAAATTATATCCTCCAACATTAGAAGCTACAAGTAGAGAGATTAATTTAAAACAACTTATGAGAATCATGTATTACTTTCAACATAACTTGACCTCAAAGCCTTTCAATTATTTGAGGGGATTAAGTCCAATTTATGTAAGATGTAAAGGACAAATATGGAAGAGACCAGTAGATTCTGCATGGTATGAGATTGAGAAAACAGAAAGGCTTAATGAGTACTTTTGTGCAATTTAGCACAAGGAATCATCATAAACAACGCCTCATATATATTAAAGCACACAGGACAAAAAGTTGCCAGGTTCTTAGACGGCTAAACCTGCCCATCCTAGTTTTCATGTAGCCCCACTTCTTTATGGATATATTAGTACTTAGCGGATCCGAACCCGGACCGAAATACGTTCGATCTTTTCTCTCTATGATCCAGCGGCCGCAACAACCGAAACTCCCAAAACCTAGAGAGAGGGGAGAGAGAGAGAGAGAGAGAGAGATCGCCGGAGTGCGAAACGACGATCTGGAGCCCTAAATCTATCTTCCCGAATCGTTGTAAGTCAAAGCTTGCAGCTTTTTCCTGATCGAATCTGTATGCTTTATTTCTCATCGCTCTCTTTCATCGAATTTTATAGTAAATTTGTATGAACTTTGTTCTGGAGCCCTATTTTTTTCTTCTTCTTCTATGTTAATGTGTAATTTGCATTTTCCCTTGTGAAGTCGACGAATTTTGCTGAGTTAAGTAGTGATTTTGAGTCGATTAGAGCGTCCTATATTTTATTCGGTGAGCTGGGGCTTTTGTTTTGTTCTTGCATTTGTGGCTAGTTAATTGCTTGAATCTTTAAATTTCTGATTTCGAAGGAAACTCTCTCTATAAATAAGGTTTAATTTGCACATTTGAACCCTAGTTGAGCCGTGCGATAAATTAGGTTTAGGGGTATTTGCACTTTGGTACGTAATTTTTAACTTCGATACCCCAAAGTTTAGTTTTTTTTTAAACCATGGTGCCTCTAAATTTTTTTGTCACACTTTGATACCCAAAATTCACACGTTTTTAAACTTTGATAACCCAAAGTTTGCACATTTTCTAACTCTGATACCCCAAGTTAACACATTTTTTTACTTTAATGCCTCAAAGTTTGATGTATCACAGTGTCAAGAACAAACCTTTGGGGATCAACAATAGAGTGGCGTAAACTTTGGGGTATCAAGTGTCATGAAAAAAAAAACGTAAAAGAGTATAAAAGTTAAAAAGGTGTAGACCTCAGGGTATCAAAGTTAAAAGTGTGAACTTCGGAGTATCAAAGTTAAAACAGTGTGAACTTCGGAGTATCAAAGCGTTAGGTGGGGAAAAAAGAACTTTAGGGTATCAAAGATAAGATAAAGGTGTAAACTTTAGGGTGCTAAAGTGTAAATAACCCTCAAGTATAATTTGCATTTTTTACCTTTTTCTTACATCAAATTCTGATGAATTATGCTCTCAATGATCCTTCATCGTGTCCTTCAAAATGATAGTTGACACAACTTGTAAAATAGAATCAATTGGTTCTGTAAAAAACCATTAGCATTTGAAATCATGCTCGGAGCACAAAATCCTTTGCAAAATTTTTAAAATATTAAAATGACACCATCACAAGCCATTTTTTCTTATTGGTAATGAACATTTTTGAAATCATAATTTTATCATGTGCGTCTTCATTTTATTTAAAAATAACATTGTCAAAGATGTAAGCTTACCGTGAGGATTATATACCACTTTATTTTTCTTCACTTTCTATATGCCAAAAATGTGTCAAGAAAAATCTACTTTTCATTATCCACTTTTGATAGAAATCAAATAATATATATAATGAAAGTGGCT